AGCTAACTTGCCCAACACTAGTTTGCTTGAATCTCACAAATAAGGCTAAAAGGTTAAAAGAGTTGCACACTATTATGTACAAAACGGATGAAAATATGTTTATACCTTGTTCAGATGACAGTGAAACCTCCTACAGTTTCCAACCAGACTGCTGTCTGCTGCTGTGAGAGATCATTCTCCTACGTCCTCGCCGCCATTTTGCCCCCTCCCCTAGCGTTTCTATTCGGAAGTGAAAAAGTGCAACTTCAAAGCCGTTTTTTTAACATAATTCATCTGAACATGTCAAAATGAACACCTGAAATATTACAAACACATATTGTGGTTATATATTCTGGATAGCAGCATATAAAAAGTACTACTTTAAGTTAAAAAAAAAAAACACTTTATTTCATGATAAATGGAATGGAGATGTGTAATGTAGCCATATATAAAGTATTGATACTAATTTTAAAAAATGAAAAAAAAAAAAAACATTAAAAAACGATACTTGGCAAATGCATATCGATAATCGATCGCGGGAGAAAGTATCGCGATATATTGAAAAATCGATATATCGTTACACTCCTACTTTAGAGTGTGGAGTTCCACAGTATTCTATTCTTGGCCCACTTTAGTTTGTTTTTACTTTCTCTTAGCCAGTCTGAATCAAGCCCTTTTCAGTGTATTGACAATCAGAAAATGTATGAGAGAAAACTGTCTACAATTAAGTCCAGATACAACACACTGTTACAAGAAAAACTTACTTACAAAATGACTAACTGGAACTACACAGACCAAGGTGACACCTTTGCTCATCTGGTTTTGAGCCCTAGGACTATGGTAATCACACGCATTGTAAGATTAACAATGTGCCAAAGGAACAAGATAAGAACAGGTTAGATGGTTTAAATATGAGCTAATTTCATTGGTTTGATGCTGTTTACTTTCCTCTCTGTTTAATTTCAGGTACAAACAAAAGTATGAATCAAGAATCAGAGTTTTATAGCCTGTATGAATATGTTACGTTTTCTTACTACAGAAAATCACATGACAAAACATCCCATGCAAAGTAATTTTCCTAGCTTCCTATTGCTACTTTTATACATGTACAGTTAGAAAAGTGACAAACCACTTCAACACGCCTCAGGGAACGCAAGACAAACGGCCTGCCTTCAATGGTAGACTCTAAATGAACGGTGGTTCACTCCTGGTCTAGTGGTTCCAAGACAGATGCTCTCCTGGTTACAGACGCATAAAACAAAGGCAGCGTGAGCCTAAATCTAGAACGCTCTAATTGAAAGGGTTCTTATCGACGTCCGGAGGTGCTTAAATGCCCTAGAATCTCAAAAACACAACAGATAAAGACACTTATTCCTCCATAAAGCGTCTCTGGGGCCGATCAATGCGCTGAAATACTGCCCGGCAGAAAAACCAGTGCCTTAATTAAAACCGGCCCTTTCCGCGTAGTCATAGACAACATGCCAGCCGCGCAGCGATTGGCTACGGGACACACTTCACTTCCTGTTTTGGGAGGCGTCAATAGAAGAGTTTAACCACGGCTGAAGTAATGGAGGGTCCCGTCGATAAGGGGCCTAATGACCGAGAGCTGCCCAAAGGAGGTGCATTCGAGCTGGGAGAGAGGAGCACAGGATGGTGGGGGCCACACAGGCAGACACACTACGTAAAAACCATGAGAGATTTACTAATAACATAACGGCACAACAGGGAAAATCTTTAGAAAAATCTCCAGTATTGTTTTTAAATGGTAAATAGTCACACAGTACAGGGCCTCTGTTTTTTCAGACAAGCAGGTGCAGAAAATGTGTGCTTTAGTCTAATATACAATATGGATGTCCCATTCCCAATCAGTTTAATTGGCTCCAGGTTCTTCGTCTTCTTCTACTGCAATTTTAAGCGGATCTTTTGCATTTATAATGATAGTTCTTCAAACTGCACTCTCTATCAAAAGTGATGAGCAACTTTCGATATCACTCACTTTCAAAAAAATTCATTATCATTTTCAATAATATATTTAAAACAGTTCCTTACTAAAGGCAAAACTACCACCTGTAAGTGCTTCAAGGAATTCAATTAATTTTGTCCAATCAGGAAGCTGCAGGAGTGAGCATGGGCAGGTCTAACCGGTGCTCGTCTTCAAAAACTTTTGCTCTCTTCTCAGTTTTACTTTTATAATAATAAAAACTAAAATAAATAATAATAATAACTGTTAATACATTATTGCAGCTCAGACCATACTGCAAGAAAGTCCTTGTCCTCTGTATTCAGTAATTATCTGAAACCGGTACAAAGACCTGTAGTCTTGATTATACACTTAAGAAAAAATATTACGCATTATTTTCGGCTTTTCAAATTGACAATGAGACTTTTTACTTTTCCGTTTCATTTTATAGAATGTGAAATAATACATTAAGAAGAGAATATACGATGAAACAATTATGAAGGGTAAAAAAGGCTTTTCCCTGTGCTGCCACCAGAGGGAGGTGATTAATTTGTAAAGTTATTTTATTAGAAAATTACCGGCTGCCAACACAATCATAATTTCACCTGAGAAACTGCCAAAACTAATTTACGGAAGAAACTCTGTTTTAAAAGGGTGAGTGTGATGTAATTGTGGTACAATGACATTATAGTATTACAAGGCTGAGACAGGAGCTCTTAGACAGATGCGGGTTGCGTTACTTGTTTGTGCCTGAAGTTCCTGAAATTAGCATGGATGGATCAAAAAACAGCTCTAGTTTCTGATGAGAAACAAAGTTGAAACATGGTTGAAAGCTGAAAAAAGCATAGTCTGTGTTAAAGCGTTTTCAAGAAATAAGTCTCATTAACACTGTTTTATCTGCTCATGCCTCCTCTGTCTGTGTTTCTCCTCTGACATTGTTCTTTGCTATATAGTAATGTGTGGATGATTATCACACATAATAGCATCTGTATGACTCGATATTGCCCGTCTCACGCTGCTGGTCTTTGAGGAGGGCACACAACATTATTATCTGATGATTCAAACACCTTTTCCTCCGGCCGCTTTGTCATTTGTCTTAAACATGATCCCTGTGCATCGATCAGGGGGCGGGGTCAGTGTCTGCGGTTATAAACATCAGAATGAAGCCGTCAATGATTCATTAAATTCATGTTGGACTTGACTCTGACAGCAGCCCCTCCCTCGCAACCTCTGACCACTGACCTCGACACGCACGGATCCTCTAACAACGGAAGACCTGAGCACCTGACTTCAGTACTCTGCATGTGTAAACACCAAACACACGGCTGTCTCTGTTTATGGTTAAGGATGCTGTAATTACATTAAACAAACGTGGTCTCTAGCCAAAACACCCACTCTAGACTTTCTTTCTGTTTTTGAATTATATTATAACCCCCAAAAGACAAACTAGAATGTCATACAGGCTATGGGCAAAACATTATGGACAAAGCTAGGCCAATCACTGCCCCGTATTTTTTAATCAGCTCCCTCCCAGAAACAGTATTGCGAAAACCAAAATGTTTAACAGAGGGTTGTCCAAACCTTTTGATAAGAGGGCCACTTTCATTCACCAGATTTATCCAGGTTCCGACAACCCAGGTTCTTTTGACTAGATCCAGGCTGATTGAAAATGAGTTATGACCATATTGAAATATATATTGTATAATGAACAAAAAATAGTCAAACATTTGGGGACTTATCAGGAGGTCTGCTTTCTCCACAAACCAAGTGAAAAATTTGCTTTTTACCACGATCAGGTCTATATTTCATGCTTCTTGTATCACAGTATGCAGGTTATCGTCCCACCCCAGGTCGCAGTCCTGGGAGGAGCTGATAAAGTCCTTCCACTCGTCTGTCACTCTCACTCTGTGTTTTACACCTATAACCCGTGCACTTGGACCCTCCCCCCTCCTCCCCTGCTGGCCGCTGACCCGTGACCTCATCAGTAGTGGACGTGAGGCGTATTTGGCAGCTGGGAGTGATGCGGCGTCGACCTTTCGCGCGCCGGTCCAAAGGGAGTCATCAGTCTGAGGCTTCATGCAAATGCAGCTGTTTATAACGCACATCGACTGGGCTGCCACCGTATGGAAATAGCAATGCGATCGATGGGCCAGCGCCGCAGCCCACAACAAACGCTGGGACAGGGGATGTGCAGGCAAATTCAACACATTTTAACACTATTTAAAACGCTCTTGAAAAATAATTAAGTAGGGCATGGCAAATGTTTGGCTCATAATGTCATTAATCATGATTATTACCATTACTATACATTAAAAATACCTGCACCAAAAGTATGTAAACTATAAGTAAGTAAGTAATGTTGTGTAGGTCAAGTTCACTATACAGTTGTCTAACGTAATACTCCCCTATACAGTATATAATGTAATGTATATACTAACAATAACAGCTTTGGACAGTCTCACATAGGCCTGCAAAACAAATTTTGCTGGACAATTAATTGTCTCAGAATTTATTGCGATAAGCAATAATATTGTTGTCCTGAGATCATTTTCATCTAATACAATGATAATGATGCAGACACCTTTTCAAAGATATATAAACTTTTATTTTTAAAAACCGAGACGAGGAAAACAAACAAGCATGCAAATGGAATTTATCGCGGCCAGAAAAATTATTGAGCTAATTTTAATTATAATATCGCAACAGGCCTAGTCTCACATATTGTAAATATTATCCTATACTTGCGCTATTGTACTACTGGTTGGATGCTAAACTACATTTCCTTGTTATCACTTTCCAATGACAATGAAGTTGAATCTAATCTAATCTATGTCACCCAGTTTTTATCAATCGTGTTGCAACTGCTAACTAGTGAAGTGAAGTACTTCAGCTTTACTGAATCATCATAGAAAACGTACAAATGACATCACAGAGCTTTTTACTGAAGAGAGCAGGTGAAACTAAAACCAACTCCAGGTCCGTTTATGAGAAGGAAAAATTCAAAAGGCAAAGATGTCTAAGAAATATGAGCTGATGTTTGAGCCAGGCTGAGGGACCCTACCTCCCAGAGATGCCTGGAGTTCCTGAGGACTCCGCTGTGAATCTTGTCCAGCAGCAGTGGGACACCCTGAAACGGACCGATCCACGTCCCCTGAGGAATCCTCTGAGCCGCACAGATCCCATAGCCCAGACCGGGGACGGTACTGGTGCAGAGGCAAACCTGAGACACAACACATCACATCACTCTGGAGCAGACAGACACAATTCAATTTGGAGAGACGTGAAACAAGAAAGCTTTTGAGTATTTTAATGAGAGGTGGTTTGGCGCCCTAGGCCCCGGTGCGGCCTTCAGTTAGGGGAGGCTCCTGCGCTGGGGCGCGTAGAATCCCCCCGGGGCCTAGGTACTGGTGGCGGCATCTTGGCAGCGTGAAGCAGATTTGAAGGCAGGTTGGAGGCAGGGTGAAGAGGAGGAGGAGGGGAGGCGGTGGATGCGAGGCTTCGGGAGGCCGTAAAATGGGAGTTGCTCCGCTTTTAAGCGGCTGGTCTGTCCGGCACGGTGTGATTGGAAGGGGGCGTTTGCTGCGCCATAGGCTGAGGATGTGAGTCGGCCCGGAGGGGGTAGCTTGGGCTGACGTCTTCTAAATTGAATTTTCGCGAGCTACATTTCAATTTGGAGAGACGTGAAACAAGAAAGCTTTTGAGTATTTTAATGAGAGGTGGTTTGGCGCCCTAGGCCCCGGTGCGGCCTTCAGTTAGGGGAGGCTCCTGCGCTGGGGCGCGTAGAATCCCCAAAAAGGCTGTGAGTTGATGGGGTTTTGCAGCCTGGTTTGCAGGGGACAGACGTCGTGGCTGCTCTATGCTGTGACCGCTATCGCTATGCTGTGACCGCTATCGCTATGCTGTGACCGCTATCGCTATGCTGTGACCGCTATCGCTATGCTGTGACCGCTATCGCTATGCTGTGACCGCTATCGCTATGCTGTGACCGCTATCTCTATGCTGTGAACCGTTTATGCGCTAACCATTTTTTGCTATGCTGTGACCGCTAGCACTAACGCTGTGACCGCTACCACTAACGCTATGACCGCTATCACTGACGCTATGACCGCTATCACTGACGCTATGACCGCTATCACTGACGCTATGACCGCTATCACTAAGCTATGACCGCTATCTGTTGTGACCGTTATATACAAGTCATTTTGAGAGGGGAAAACTTTTTTATTTATTATTTATGTATGTACCTATATTCAGCCAGGAAATCCCCATTGAGATTTAAACCCAGAATCAGAATTATGTTTATTACCATTGTAAGTAGAAGGAAATCACAAACTAGAAAGTTGCTTTGGTATAAAGGCCAAAAGTTACAAAAGTAAAAAAGGCAGTTAATTTTCACAAACACATAGAGAACAAATGACAGGAAGACAAATACAATCAGGTAAAACAGTACAGATCTCAAATACTGTCAAATCAACACAGAGACATTTAAGGATAAAAAGAAATGCCAAGTCTGGATTTAATTTTAAATCTGCATTTCATCCTTAGACATGAACAAGTTGGACTGATCAGAATTACTTTCGGAAAAGTGACCCTCACTAACAAATAATTGTATTTTGAAGAATGTCTTTTTCATTTTATAGCTAGATCAAAAGACATCATTCAAATACATTCAAATGTGTAAGTTGTTGAAATCAATCATTTATTTGTTAATTTAAACCAAATATCTGTGTTTTGGATTTGAATCTCAATGCCAACCCATCCTTAAACCTTTGGAGGCCCCTGCAGTGGCCCTGAGGCCCCCGGGGCTCCAGACTTCACTCTTGGAAACACAGAGAACTTTCCTGTATATTTCGACTTCAGACCAGTTTTGGAGCACATAACAGCAGCTGCTAATCAGTGATGCAATGATGCCACCTCATGTCTGCTTCCAGTGTCTATTTACTAAACTGAACTGAAAACACTCAGGGCTTTGGTTCTTGGTCACTCCGTTCAACTTGCTGTGAAAAGTACTTTGATTTTAGGACCTTAAGACATTCGAGGTTTATGCAAATAATGCATTATTTGTAATCATTTCTACACTTCACATAACGCCTCACAGCAATAAGGTCGCAGGTTTGGGTTTGATCCTTTGCCGACTCGAGCCCCCCTATCTGGGTGGGTTTCCTCCAGGTGTTCCAGTTTCCCCCGCCACACAGGAGGTAGTTTGACAAATTTATTTTCTGGTAGATTTTTCTGAACAAAATTAGTTTTACTGATTGGATTGGAAAAAATATTGTTATTGAAGATGAAGCAAATAATTTATTTTTAAATGTAACTAAACAACGTCTAATTACATGTTTGGTTCTATTTTTAGAATAAATTAAATTATATGGTTGTCTTCTTGAGAAAATTAATTTTCAAATGATGTGTAACATGCCCTAACAGCATAACACCGTAAAGATAAGATAAGATAAGATATTTATGTTTGCTCCTCAGTGGGGAAATGTCAATATCATGGTAATGAGAAAAGGATTCAAAAATATATATATATATAAAATAAGATAATAAACTCTGAAGCTATAATTGCACAATAATGCTTTGATGATAATAATAGAATTAATTTGATAATGATACTTGAAAAAAGTCTTGTTGGCCAAATCCAGCCAGAGTTTGACAGGTTGCCAGGTTGACAGGTAGTGGCATTGAAGGATGGGTCAAATGCAGACTGCACCTTTCCCTCCGGGGGCAATAACCTTCACCTTAACTCATTTATATGTGCATGATTCCTGTGTGGAATTGTCAATTGCAATTGGTCAGATGAGATCTTGGGAAATCTCAGTGTTTAGGTTGTGGTTTTGTGTCTCCAGGGCTAAACTGTGTTCTGCCTGTTCTGAAGTGAGCGTGGTACCTCTCGGGGTAGATCCCGGAGCCAGTCTGGGACGTCGGGCATCGTCACTGGGGTCGCAGTGCTGCTCGTGCCCACCAGGCGGCGCAGCGAGTGCAGGGGCCCGTGCATTGGACACTCGCCGTTTCTGTTGTCCGCACACATGTCGCAGCCTTCGAGAAGAGAAGGAAGAAAATAAGGACCTTCTTTGGAATACCAGTGTTCCACTTTAGACTACATAAACCAATTACACAATTTTTACTAATATTTATCCTAAACATAATATTAACTGTTTTGGCATTTAATGATAAAGAACTGGAAATTTCTAGTAATGTTCAGGAAAAATATGTTATGAAGGGTCAGCAGCACTGCAACAGCCTGCAGATCCTAACACCGCCCTCTACTGGTGCAAATGGGAATTAAATATATTTCAGAAGTAGTCATACAAGAATGCTGGTGCAGTGAATGCTACAGTATTTGACTGAACATTTGGTATAAAACAGATATGAAGTTTTGTTTGTTCTGTGACATTGTGCATTCCTGATATTAATGTTGGTGAAGCAAAAAACATTCTGTGTTTGTAGTGCCGTGAAGGGCAAACCCTGGCCCGTGGGCCAGATGCGGCCCTTTGGATGTTTCCATCAGGCCCCGGAGCCTTCCTCAGTTTATATAGATATAGTATAAAGTATATTGTGTGCGCCATGCAGAGCTCAGTGGCTGCCGTTGCACCCTCGGTTTTTTCTTATTAAGTAAGTAAGTAATCTTTATTCATATACTGCCTTCCGCAGACCAGAGTCACAAAGTGGTTTACAATTGTGGACATTTGTCCTCTCACTCCACACCTAGATGGGAGCAGGGCAGGGGCGATTTTAGACTTTCAGCTTCAGGGATGCTTAGCACCTTGGGGTGGGAGGGGCATAGATAGATGGAATTTCAATATGAGGGAAATTTATTGTAATAATAGTACAATAATACATCATTAGAACAGACTGGCTCATGAGTACAACGTACAACAAACTGCAAAATTAGCTACAAAAATGACACGGTATTACAACGTATCTTACAATAAATTCTGAAATGCAGCATATTGCAATTAATACGGCCTGATTCTTAAAGAGTTAATCTGTGGCGCCTCACTCTCAGTTGTGCAAATCTGTCCATTTTGTCAAGAACTTCCTTTTCAACTGACATAACTGCCAGGTTGTGAATCCTACTTTGACCAGAGGTCATTGTCAACTAAGAGCTACTGACAGGAATGCAACTTGTATAACTGTTTTTAGGGATGGAAACACCTCATTTTCCAAAAGGTTGTACAGTACACTGAGAGCATGTCATGCATTGGCATCGCCTCACTCTTGGGCTTAGTGTAATTTTTAGCGACTATCACTTCTTCTGTCCTCAGATCAATGTGATAATGTTGGGCCAGTGTTGATAAATCATGCTCAGACAAACAACTGCATGCTTGAACACCTTGAAGCAACATCTGACTAACACGCTTCCCTCCTTGCCCTTCATGAGGATTCCACAACATCTAATTTTCTTGCCTTAGCTCGTTTACCTGAAGAAGGTTCTGGAATCTCATTTGCCTCACACAGAATCTTGTATAAGTGTCTGCATCACTTGGTTTCTTTTTAAGGGAATCAATAATGACATCTTTGTAAGCTAAGGCATGTGCTAACAACAACAACAGCAAATTATTCTTGTATAGCCCTAAATCACAACAGAAATCATCTGAGAACTTCTCAAAACCATTGAAATCACCAACACAGATCAGAGAATCAACAGTTAAAACACAAAAAATACAAATATGAGTTGGTCCATAGGGAGCAACCAATGTCCATGAATGTTGATAAATGTCATACATGTTGTAGAATGTTAATGTGTCCTGGATCATCACCACATCCTTCTAGTTGGACACTAACTGCCCAACAAACCCTCCTGCATCGGCAAGTAAAAACTCATTACAAATAAACCCAGTGGGAAAAAAGTGAGAAACCTCCGGGAGACCCACACTGAGAGAGGGATCCACTCCACACGGTGCTAAGTCAACATTCTCTTTTTGCAGATACCTGTAGAGCTGAAACAACTAATTGATGAATCGACGACTAATCGATTATTGAAATAGTCGACAACTATTTTAGTAATCGATTAATCGTTTTCTGGTTCACACGGACTCAAACTGAGCAAAAATGACATGAAAATGTAGTATTTTTTATTAAAACCGACTTTGTTTTTATAATTTCATGAATATCTGTCTGTCTCATCCAATCAGATAGCAGAATTAGCACAAAGAGCCTGTTACAAACATTTACTTTAAGTTTACGCCATCAATACGTCCTCGAGTGTTGCCACTTTAGCTTTTTGTGATGAAAAAATACATTTTTTCTACACAATTCACAGCCAAGCGATTACTCGATTAATCGTAAAAATAATTGATAGATTAATCGATTACAAAATAATCGTTAGTTGCAGCTCTAGAAACCTGTGCAATCCTTAAGTGGTTGAAAGTAGAGCCTCAAATACTACTTTGATAGTCAGCTTGTTCTATTGTGCTCGTATTTGTTAAGAAAATGATTACAAGACCCCAAGTTCAAACATGGCCCTCAAAGCAAATAAAATATATTATAATTCCATAACTCACGCTTGGACCAACATTTGTGTTGTTAGTATCTTACCTGCTGTTCTCGCTCACTCTGCCCCTGATCAATATTCTCCTTCCCTTTAACTGCTGTCAACTATAAGACACATTTAATATGCAAGAAGTACACTATAAAATAAATATAGCACCTATTAACTTAAAACTCAAGGTCAGATCACAAAAAATTTGTTCTGACTAAATTGATTCTGCATTACTGGGATCAAACTAAAGGCTCTGATCCTCTGATGACATCACAGCAGTATCTTTTTACCTGATCAAAGACCAACACTGTGTGTTACTTTAGGACACAGACTAATTCAGGCCAGTTACTGTCTTTTATACTATTTAATATTTCCCTAAAAATTACACAAACCTCACCTGAAGCTTTCTTTTTAAAAAACGCTCTAATATCCATCTTTGCAGCTAAGTCCACTCTTGCTAACACATTTACAGTGTAAATGTGTTTTTTTGCTTTCAGTATGGAGTTGTATTCAATATTGTAAATATAACAAAGCTATCACAAAACAGACATACTTTGCTACTTCATCAAGTGACAGTGATGAAGATATAATTACAGAACTAGCTAGCTTTGTTTTATTTGTTAGTATAAAGATAAGGGCTTTAGGGCTTCATAATGTATACCATATAAAACATGAATTGTGTGTGACAAGCAGGAGATAAGTAAATGTGACGCCAAATGACTCAATTCAAGAGAACTTTACGGCGGACTCTTCCATGTTAGATCTGCCACAAACACTCGTGGAACCGCGCGCACGGAGCACCGGTGTTTAATACAGCGTTAGCAGCAGAACTGTTCACATAAAGTTTATGGGAAAAGATGGGATAAAAAATGAAATACCAGCAGGTAAACGTGAAAGCCACTGGCAAACACCGCTGTAGCTCAGTCTCAGCGCACAGACAGACACAGACAGACACAGACAGACACAGAGATGAGGTCAGAGAAGCAGACGCAGAGGGACCTGAGCAGAGCAGGTGCGCGCCAGCGTCTTTTTTTTTTTTCTTCGCGGTGCGTTCTCTGCATGAAATGGAATGACTCCAGACATTCTTAAATAGATGGTAACAACGAATTTTAGGAAACAATAACAGTATTTATAAATAACCTGGATGCGTTTTAAAAATCCGTTATTTTTTTTATTTTTTTCATTTTTATATATTTTTTGTTCTATAATTTTAGGGGTGCTTGACATATTTTTAGGGGTGCTTGAGCATTATGTTATATAACAATATATTTATGTGTAAAAAATGAAGCCTGAGCAAAACATCGGAAAAAAGGTTCTGGCCTCTGACAGAGGGTTGATATTATAATAAGTAGAGCCCCATCAATCTCGTAATCCAAATTCCAGATATTTCATATTATGTTATTCCGAAAGACTGGGCATAAAATGAGTTATGGATCTTAGTTCTTGTCTGGTCCTACACTGAAACAAGGATACAAGCATGTGTAACTGTACTATCTCCAGACTTGTTGCGACAGGTCAGTGATTTTGGGAAAAACTGGGTGAGCAGCGGTGCATTATGAGGCTAACGTTAATGGATGTTAATTGACTGAAGGAACGTATTTTTATCGGAGCTCAGATCTCCGGAGCCACAGACCCACGGAAGGAACTGAGCTGAGAGGAACCTGGAGGAGAGCCAGAGCCAACAGCAAGAAATATATCATTAGGGCCATAAGGAAAGTAATGGCTGAACCACGACAGTACTATAGGACAGGGCAATACAACTTTTCATGAGGATTTTTCAGGTGGCCATGTGCTTTGAGCCTATGATGCTTGAGTAATTCTGTATTGTCTTTTACTCAAGGTTTAGGTGCTCGGATAATTACTACCACACCCACCTATCCTTGAGTCCTCATGTGGGGGATGGGACCACCCAGCAGATATTAATATCTACTTTTCCATTTTTAAAATATGAATAAATAAATAAAAAAGCTGGTGCTGGTTTGCATTTCAGAATCAGCTCTTTCTTTTTCAAATCAAAAAATGCTGGAACCTGGTCTGGAAAACTGGTACAACCCAATTCAGACCAGGGCCAGAAATGGGAACCAGTTTTTGAGAAATACTAAAGACCAAATTCAATTTTACTTTTACCACTTTTAAAATGTAAGTGACCAATTGGCCTGTTCATGTTGGCCTTATTTTGACACCTGACCGATACATATGTTTAAAAGACCAAATCAGCAAATATTAAATCAATGGCCGATAAATCATGGATCACTGAATGTAAGTAATTGAGAGAGTGAAATAATGTTGGTCTTAACTGAAATACAGGGAAACCCGGCAGTTGAGAAGCTAATGAATGCTAACCGCTGCCAATAAACAGTGGGTTGCTATAGCAACAGGCGCTGGCCAGGCTCAATTGGAAAACAGGACGGAAACAGTATAGAACTGGTACCTTGGTGGAAAACATGGGTAGTGAAAGATTTAAAGGGCTGTTTCAGTGTATTTCACCATCATTTGACACATGTTTTGACACTTCAAATTATTATTGCTTAAAATTGTATTCACTTGAGATATC